TCTAATTTTTAACGATACAATAGCGACGATTATTATTTTAAAAAATTTTTGTTAGGCTTAACATCGATGAAAATTCAACGCGAAGTAGGTTAATAGCGATATACTAATATACTAATTACATGGGATATAATAATATACTACACTTATAATGGATTTTTTCATACTTTTCGGTTATCCGACTTTTCAATTATCCGACCAACCCCAGTCCCCAATTGGGTCGGATAATCGAGGCTCTACTGTATTTTAATATATTTTTTAAAAGAAACAAAACCACTGAGAAATGTTATGTGTGTTTAACAACGTTCGGAAAACTTTGAAAATGTTAACAACGGGTTCGGCCGAACCTGTGCGAACCCGCTGAATATCACCACTGCCTATTGTTATCAAAAAGAAAAAATTGACAACATAAAAACATTATATGCAAAACAAATTATACTTTTCTCTTTTAAATTTATAAAGCTTAAAACGAATAACAGTCATCTTTTAAATATTATAGAAAATCATCGCAGGAAGGGAAACTACTGTAATCGTCAAAATTATACCTTCTCAAAACAGGGCCGTGGGATGGATTTTCTCAGTATGATGCAAGTCTTCGAAATGCCGCTTATGCCACATCTTAAATGATGCTTAAGACGCCCCATTACGGTGCCGCTTGATGCGGCCGCATCTCTGCATCATAGCACGGCACGGCCCTGGCTACTGCCTAGCCAATGCTGAATATTCATCACTTTTTATCATAATGCTACACAAAATGTCCCTAATTCTGGTTTTGACTTAGGGCAATCCTATATTGGAGCAGCATTGTTGTTTTAAAATTGTTTCTGCTGACGAAAATTTCACAAACCTTTTTTTTTTTAAATTTAAATTCGATTTAAATTTACTTATCGCACTTCCTGTCATTACATTGTTTCTTTTACTTCCTGTATGTGTATGCCGGATATGACATAAAAGAAAAAAAAGTAAGTTTTAGATTTCTTTCAGTGATCAATGCAAAAAAATGTTTGCTATTATATTTCAATAAATGAATATTTAACCATTCTGTATATGTTTGTTTACATAAATTTGCATGAATAATCACGTGATAGTAGTCATTCGTCAGATGGTATTTTGAAAATTTTAATGACTCTAAAGGATGAGTCAAGAATTCGTTGGCACATCCTTTTGAAATCTCTATTACTTTTCTTTAAAAACACTCTTTCCATTCTTTAAGCACCAAGAGGACATTTTTAACAAGTCCTTTATTGGTTCAGCCAGGGCCACCCCTAACACATAGGATACCCCTATATTTCACAATTGACACATAAAAAACATCCATCTTTTGTGTCTGTACATAGTTCATGTGCCCAACCATAACACACTGGACACTGCACCCAGTCCTTTGTGGACGATTCCACATATGGTTCTCCACATAATACACAAAACCCTCATCCATTGCCATCTGCAGTTTCTTCAGTCCAAGAACCTCTGTTGCTCTTTCTTATATACTTGTTCACCATTTAAAAACAATTACATCCTCAATTAGTTAGATAAATTGAAAACAGAAATCAAAATAATTGTGCAAAGGCAACATGGAAACTATTCCATCTTGCCCAAATGTCCATTGCCAATAATAATATCAACACTTTAAAAATCCTTGAATTTTTTTCCTCTTTAAATATCAATTCATTCAATCTATCCCTAATAGGTACTTTATATAAAAACAAAATAGTAATACTTACCTTGTAGGTATAAATAATAACACTGCAAAAGTCCAATGATTGCATAATAATCTGCTGCGAAATAAGAAATACTTGAACACATCACTTGGTGGCACCAACCGGTCTGAGTCGCTGTTTGTAAATACAAGATATCTGGGTGTCTCTCTGTGCATGGAGATTTGGGTGCTTCGTCGTGAAGTTTGGGGTGGGTAAGTAGTTTCCATCTTACCCTCCCTTCTCCTATATATATATTGGTTTGGCTAAATATTGATATAGAGGATTTGACTATCTCTGTATGTATGTAAAGTACAAATCTGACATACAAGAACTATATTCTATGCATCTACAAAAATTACATTTCACTAATCAGAATGAAAATGTGGTTGTCTAAATTGTATTTCCAAAACCTTTGAATATAATTCAAATACACTGTATTGGATTCTATTGTAGTTTTTTGTTGTTCTAATTGTTTAAAGTTTTTATCAAAATAACTTAGATGAGTTGGAAAGCTTGAATTTCCATTAAAGCAGAATATAGTTGATTGATAGTTTAATAAAATATAGCAACTAATTAATTAAAACTCCAAGACAGCAATTATAATTAAAATTTGCAAGTTCAGAAGAAATGCTAAATCAGAATAGAAGTATATTCACATTTGTCCCCTTTCACACATCAGGATTGGATAAAGTAGTCTGAGGAGGACTACAAAGGACAAATTGTGAAGACACTTTTACTCTAATTTAATGTTTCTTCTAAGCTTGTACAGTATATTATATTTATTTTTTGTTATGTATTTATAAATATTTTTTGCAATGAATTTAAAAAAATAGATCTAATCCTATTGTTATTGAATAACAAATTTAATCCCATGTACAGTACATCTCATAACAGTTAATACTTTAGAGATAAAATCTTAGTCCAAATATTATGTTTAACAATAAAATAATTATTGAATAATTCATAAAATTTTGTTATTGCAATGATTAATTGCACAGATTGAAAATAAATGCTATTTTGTAAATGCTTTAGTATGAAATTCATTAAGTGAATCTATAATAATTATTGTGAAAGTTTAAATTCGGATCATGGTATATTTCACTGGCACTCTAGCAAACATATCATAGTATATATGTCCAAAATAACATAGTGCCTGGCATGACATTTTCTGTGATTTTTATTTTGTCATTGTATAATTCAGAATAATAATTATAATATTCAATTACTTACCTTTATATGATATACTTTAAAGTTAAAAAAAATAATCCCTCTAAGGAAGCTACATGGTTTAAATTAATCAAATGATAATGCCAGAATTATTGGGCTTTTATCATGATTTATTTATCTTGGCTAATTAAACATGACCCAATGAATTCAGTATTATCATTTTATTAATTAATAATTTGGATTTAGTTCATTGTACATGGCTTAATATCAATTTACATTAATTTTGTCTTCTTTTGTACACTTCAGTATCAGTATTTTAATTTGAATAAATTATTAATAAAAAACACATTAGCAAAACATTTTTAAAGAAATAAAATAACTTTCATTTTTTTAAAAATTGTTGTTTGAACTCTTAAAGTTTTAGAATGCACAAATTTTTAATGCTATTTTGGTATGCATATACAAAAAGGTTTCTTATTATTGCTCTAGAATTTGTCTCCATAAGGAATTTTATTGAAACAAATACATAAAAGAACTTTGACTAGTTATAAAATTATAAAACATATCTAAACACTGTTGGATTTTTTACTAGACTATTTTTACACTAAAATTTGATCAAATGTCTAGCATAAAAATAACCTGTAAAAATTCTGGCAATGTCAAGTCATTTGTTTTAGTTTATAATTTCCAAGTGTCTCGTATTCCTATACTTGGACCCATGACAAAAACTAAATTTTGAAATATTTCAACAAATTTTACACTGATAAACTGATCTCAAATATCTTTGAAAGTTGTATCATTTAATTCAAAACATAAAGATTATACTAAATTGAAGCTTATAGATAAGTTGTAATTATATTAATGAAAAAAGCAATCAAGAAAATTTAACAAGACCAAAACTTTTTTATTGTGTGATTTAAAAGAAATTATATTTCGTATATCATGGTCTTGACATCATTATTAAGCTTTATACACTTATACAAATCAGTTTTGAACTGGATAAAATATTCAAAATACAAATTTATCACTTAATAAAACATGAAAAACCAAGGAAGAAATTCAAACAAACATTCATAGGTACAATTACTGCAACATAGATGAATTTTACATGTAATGGTGAACAAAGATGAGGTAGAATATAAACTATATTTTTTACTGATTACATATACTACAACATTGGTTCATAAATTATTTCTTTCCAATTTTTTGCTGCTTTTTAGGAGGTGTCCATCTGAGACAAGAAGTATCTACAGTCAATCGAGGTTTCTTATACTGAGCACTACGTAAATGTTCTTCCACTAATTTCGGTGTAACACAAATAACATGTTGTCCTTTCCAATATTTAACCATGTTTAAACTTTGTAATGTACTGATGATATCTCCTTGACTAATACTAGTCATTTGGCTTGTAATTAATAAAATAAATTATATTTTTATGTGAAAGTAATATATGAAACAAATTTGAAAAATTGAACTATCTTTGGTTTACTGTAAACAAAATAAAACTTACCTTAAATCTTTAATTGTTAAAGTCCCACGAAAATCTCTTAAAATTTCTAATAACACCCAGGACCAATAACTACGATAGCTTAATTTTCCCAAATCAGATAAGGGTTTTTCAGGAGATCCGACAGAATGCTCAAATTTGGATAATTCATAACCTGTAAAATAATTTGTGAGCTATTTAAACTGTACAAGATGATCAAAAGGAGAATTAATTTGTGAAGAGTAAACTTGGTGACAATGTAAGCCAGTCTATTTATTATAGCCCTGTTTATATGTCATAAGAAACACTTAAATCTTAAATATTTAGAGTTTCAAATATTATTAGAGTTCATAGTAAATGGGTGAATATGTGGTATATGATGAATCAGTCAGGTAGTGTTGCCAAGTTTACTCCTTATAAGTAAATTTTTAATACATACTGAACGCTATCAAAAACTTTCCATATCCTTTACGTTGATATGGTGGCAATGTTAGAATACAAGCGACGTTATTTCCATCAGGAGATTCTTTTTCTTTGGAAAAATATCCTACTAAATGTGCCCCATGTTTGTCTACTTCACATAATATATAAAAGATGAAAGGTTCAACATCAAAATACAAAGTTTTATGATCAAGGAAAAGTTTGGCAAGTAAACATAAATTCTGACAATATATCTGTAATGGAAATAAATATATATTTATTAACTAATCATTAAATTATTATTAAAAATTGTTAATAATTAAAGATATATATAATAATATTATATACATTTATATAAATTAATAAAGTTTTATATTATCTTAATCTTAAAAGTACATTATTCATTCTTTAATAAGTTTATATACATTGCTATCTAAAGTTTCTTAGCTTATAATCATCATTTAATTGCATATAAATGTTTATAATTTCCTACTATAAATTCAAATAATATTAATAATATGAATGATGTAATTTCCAGTTTAAAAATTGTTGAAAACTTATTCTTTCTCTTTATCTACATAAATTGTCAAATCAGGCTCCAAAGTAAATTCATAATTTCATGAAAAATTATATCACATTACATTTCCTGTAAGTTATTTTTTGTTTTATAACAAGAAAATTTATTTTTGTTTGTTAAATGAATGTCATTGCCATGGTGATGACATTTGGAAACTGTCACAGCATCTGTTGTGGAAAATTAATGGTTTCAATTAATTGTTAAAATTCTTATAGACTAAAAATATTTGAATGCATATTGTTTTCATGATAAATTATTTTAAAAAATTCTTTAATTTATTTTTGAAATGATGATTGGTCAGTTTCGTTAATAATGAAATAATGATTAATATTTCTATCAATTTATTGATTTTCAATAATTAACAATATGACTGATACACCTTATTTAATATTAGTTATATAATATGTCAAGGAATTATCCAATATTATTGATTCATTGGTAAACTCAATATAAGGCAGAATATTTTTTTCTGAAGTTAAAACAACAGAAAAAATACATTTTATGATTTCATTAATAACTTAATTTTCTTTGAAATCTTATTACTTGTATTGTTCTTTCTTGTTTAAAATAATAATAATAATAATGTCTATGCGTAATAAAATTTTTCCAGTGTTAAATTTTATACAAGATATATTAGAGCATTCTACAGTTTTTCATTTTAAAGCTTTTGTTCAAAGAATAAACTTAAATTGTTGTTATGTACAACATTTCCCATTTAATTCAAATATTTATTATAATTTTAATACAGTAGAGTACTCATTATTCAAAATAATCAGAATGGGACAATTTTGAATAACTGATCATATGTAGTAATGAAAGAATAAAAAGTTAAATACCTTAAATAAAGTAAAAATATTAATTTTAATTCTAGTACAATAGTAGAAAAAAAAAAAGACAGAAATTTAAAATATACAACAAATATAAAATGAATATATAAGAAATAATGAAAAAATCATCTAATTTATTAAAAACAAGTGTTAGTCTTTCATTGCAATTTACAACTTACTGATGAAATTCTGGAATTCAAAGTAAAAAATAAATAAATTGCATAATAGCTAAATTAATATTAAATAAATAATTTTTACATGATTATAATTTATCACAATTCTTTTTTGGAAAGAAGTCACTTATTTTGCTTTTTAAACTGCTTTGTATCATGTCCTCAAATCCTGCAACTCAAATTTTACCCACTTCTAATTAAGACAGAAGGCTAAAACTTTAAGGATGTATCTAAGTCTGATTATAATGCATTTTAATGATGTTTTAGGGATGACCCCATCTTCACCATCCTTCTCATTCTAAAACCTGATAAATATAATCAAATGTAGAATTTAATTTAATAATGTGTGTGTGTAAATATATATTACAGATGTATATGGTGGAGGTGGCCCACCTTGATGCAAAAGCATGACCAATAAATAAATAAATAAAAATTCTTTTTAATATATTAAAACTATTAACTCAGCTAAATCCCTGGCTCACTTGATCATAACAACAATTGAAAAATTTCTTCAGGTTATATTTCTAACCATGTCAATACTGTTTCTAATGCATTAATTTAAATGCTTCACTGTGGAGCATTTTTATACATTAGAAGGCCATGATTAATTAATCTTGCTTTTCTATTTGTACTGTAATAAACTAAAACTAACACTAGTACTGATAACAAGATATATCAATAGTGAGCCTATAGAAGATCATCAATAATCATCATTACATTAAAACTTCAGAAAGTATTAATTCCAGAAATCAAGTCAATTTTGGTTAATAAATTTTTTTGATAATTGACACTCTATTGCAGTGTTTTTCAACCTTCTTGAATACGCGACCCCTTTACAAGTTAAAAAATTTTGACGACCCACCACGGTCATATTAAAACTATGTTAGTGATTTTAAAAACTACGTATCTAATTTTCTTTTTGTTGAGATTTAAATATCGATAAAAAACCTAATTGAACTGTAAAATAAACAGGCACAGCCTTATCACTGAAATTGTAGTTTTTTTATTGTAGTGTAGGACCTACAAACACTTGTCTTTTTATTTTACCCGCGACTCCCCATGTATGGCTTTGCGACCCACCTGGGGGTCGCGACCCACAGGTTGAAAAACACTGCTCTATTGTAACACCAGTAGAAGTATTCTTTTCTACAAATATCAGAAAAAATATATATCTCCCTAGCTTCATTTTAATACTGTTATTATTACAATATTAACATTATATCATAGTGAAACTCTGTTAAACTGGTATCTGTTATGGCAGAAAACCTAATAAGTTGACTTGTTGAGCTTGTCATTGAGGGGAGGGTTATTGGTGTACTGGATAGATCCAGAGTTATGATTTTCATGTAAACAGTTCTTGGAAAGGAATATGGGCTGTCGAGATGGAAAATGCCAAAATGACATAATGCTGTGCTAGGTAAAACCAGTTAGCTCGTGCATGATTTTTTCTAAAGATGCTATTGCATGAGTTTTATATGAAAAGCAAAAATATTTAGCACACTTGAAATCAATAATTATCATGTACTTCATTAATACATTAACAGCTACAATACATTACTGTTCATGTACTTCAATAATTAGAGTATGTCTATATTTATAGATAATAAAAGTGTTCAAAGCACAAAGTAAAAATAGTGTAATACAAAGCTAAAAGATGCAATATTTGCCAGATATAATCATTCACTTTTATAATTAAAAGGAGATCTATGGATTTCAATAATAATACACATTCTGATCAATTTCTTCATAAACTTTCAAATCTGCCACAACATGCTGATAAAATCAGACAAACTCAATAAAAAAGTAAAGAAATTAGAATTTAACGTATATGGAGCATCATAGGATATGAATCACATGTCTGTACAGCAGCAAAAGTTCTATTATTATTATATTTTAATGTTTAATTTATATTACTACATTGCATTCTTAAAATTTATGTTTCAGATGTTTCTATTAAATTTTCAATTTCACAAAAAAGTGTCTGTTAGAAAACACTGCTAACTAAATCCAATGAATATGTAAATTTTCGACTATAAATTCGTATCTTCTATTATCAGGACTTATTATACTGGTTATTATAAACCAGTATAATAAGTCCTGATAATAGAAGATACGAATTTATAGTCGAAAATTTACATATTAATAAGAAAAAAGAACATTGAGGCAATCTAATTAAATCCAATAAAGTATTTGTTTCAGACTGTTTTAATGGTCTATTATAATTTCTTTAACTTTATATTGAGTTTGTATATAATTTTACTTTTAGAAAAGTCAATAATAATAAGTCTTCTATGACAATAGAGTTTAGACATGGGTATTCTGTCAGAGAAACAATTTTAAGCTTGTCAATGTTATTATAAAAAATTATTTTATGTAACAAAAATTTATCAATATACTGTATTTCTGTTTAGGTTACACAGTTTTCTATCATTCATAATTATTATTTATATTCAATTTATTAAACCAATAAAAATTCATACTTAAATATATACCTTATGATCTTTTCCATCCACTTCCCATACAGAAATTGTTCCCTTTCTATAAATTTCTTTTCCTGGAGGTTGACGCCAAGTACATTCTCCCTAAAAACATAACATCAGTAATATATCAGGATATGTTTATTTCTATATTACAGCCATACCCTGGTATCTGAACTCCCAGTATCCAAATTCTTGATACAATATATTACATTCTTTGACACCCATTTCATCAATTGAATAATCGTAGCATTATATAAATTTGAAATGAATTTGTAAAACCTTGAAAGTTGCACTAGTAAAAGTGGGAAATAAGAAAAACTATTTTCAGCATCTATTTTTGTTTGTTTTAATGATTTTATATCTATATTCTACCAGAGCTTAAAGCAGTCATGGCAGTGAAAAAAGAGAGTTCACACTGAAAAAAAGCTAATAGTGTTAAAGTGAACTAAAAGAGGCATTATTAAAAAAACACACAAACACACACACATTTTGTATCAATAACATTGCATATGATATTAGATTATTAAGTGGAGTGAAAAAATTAAATATGAAAATAGTTAGGCTGAGTTTATACTCCAGAAAAGTGACTAGCAAGACTGCATTAAGCTAGAACGGGCCCGGATTAAGTTTTCATGTGGCCTGTACAGAGTTCCCACCATTATATAGCAAAGGAAATGGAAGAGTAACATAACTACCAGAATGTGTCTCCATATAACATGCCAAATTTGAAATACCATTTATTTCAAGGTATATGTTTTGATTTCTTGTTTAAAAAATTTGTAATTGAAGATTTTCTTTCATTTAAATCATGCTGCAGTTTCTGCACTTCTCGTTTTCTCCTCTTCATCACACCAAATTTTCTTTGCACTTTCCACTAGTCCTTGGGCAAGATGTATCTCTTCAACATTGTTTTTCTCAACTGCATTTCGTAGTCTATTAGTGGCTTCTTCAAACATTCTACACCTCGTTTTCTTTTGCATTTCTTTTTCTTTTTTTTTCTTCAGCTTGGCTTCAAGAATATCAATTTTCTTTTTCTCCTGTTCAAGTGCTTTTATTTTCGCCTTCTCTTCTTTTCTCTTCCTTTCTTCCTTGTTCTTTTTTCTGCTTTTCTTCTTCTTTCAGTTTACTTTGTTTGTCCAAAAAAGCCTTATAAGTAGCATATGCATTGCAGGCCAACCCAAGTAACTTCTTTGTCATTGGCACCAAAAAGGCATTATTGTTATATACACAAAGTCCATCTTTTACTATCAACAATGAATTCATCATTCGTTCTGAAATAGAAGTTCTGTCTTCTGTCAGAACCCATGTAAAAATGGAGAACCCTCTTTCAACATCTGCATTGCCATGATTGAGAACCAACAATGCTTTGACTACTTTAGCGACAGCTAGATATTTTGGCATCATTAACCTGATATTTTTTTTTAAATTTTCACTGAAAATACCTGTAGAAAGATGATTTCCCTTTTCTCTCATCCTATACCATAGCGAGAAAACAGTGCATGCATGTGGTGATGGGTCATTCCATTTGTAATTTAAGATTACTAAAAGGAATTTTCTAGTCTGTTTATAATTTGATTCCCTGTATTATGCTCCAAAAATGGGTCTTGTTTTTGCTTTTGAAATAGCTGAGGTGCAAAAGGAAACTTCTTACCAAGTCTTGATTTAAAATAGTTCGTAAATACATGCTGATTGAAAATATAATTTACATAGTAATATTCTTTCCAGTTTCTTTACAAACATTATCAATGTTTGTCATAATGGAACAATAATCATAATTAAACTGGATTAAGTGAAAGACTCTAGAAGTTTGTTTTTAACTTTGTGTGTTTCTTGTTCATTGAAGTGTGCTTTAGTGAAGCTGGAGTCAGAATTAAAACAATCAAAACAGTCGGAGGAAGTACTAGCAGACTGCATAGTCATCTCATATGACGTCATGATATAAACTTATTGAAAAGAAAATCTGAGGAGACAGTGGAAACAGTGCACAAAGTGAATCTAATGAAAAAAATAACTGCATTTTTCAAGAAAGAGATTGAAGAGTCTTTGCCTGCAGTATTATCTTGTATGGCCTCAGTTGATGGACAGCCATTATCCAATTCTGCACATTGAAAAACCTAAGACAAACTTTTCTCTGCAAGCAAATATGCAAATCTATCTAAATCTCCTAATTTGATTAAAAAATGATCACTGAATTCTGAAAAAAATTCAGATTGAGATTATTAAAGATATATCAGAGCAAAAAGTTTGAGGAGAATCTTTCAGTATATCTTGTGATGAATGGTCATCACTTAACAACCGTCGATATATGAATGTTAATCTATATGCATGTAACAAATTTTGAAATACAAGTTTGATTCACCCATGTGGATCCATATGTGCTGAAAAATGTGTTGAACTTTTAAATGTTGGATTAAAAAAATTCAATGTTGATTATAACAACCTAATTTCAATTGTCATGGATGGAGCTGCAGTGATGAAAAAAGTGTCAAGATTAGTCAATTGTAAACAACTAAGTATGCATTGTTTACGGCTTATACTGTACTTAGCAGTAGCAAAAAGTTCTTTACAAAAAAGGCCATGTTAAAGAAAACAGTACTGAACCCATACATTCAAAACTGGATGATGAAGATTCTGAAATATGCTATAACAATATCTCCCTTCCCCAGTTTTTGCAGAATACCACAATCATTTGTTATAAAGAAATCTGTACTTCCTCCTCCATACCCACTAGAAAGAAAAGTTATAAGTCCTGATGGGGCAATTCCAATTAAATATTTTATAGTATAAGCAGATTTATATTAGGAATAAAACTGAATTTGATGTTAAACTGATGATGGCTTCTCAGTTTTAATTTCTGTACAGTCAATAATTACTCTTGTTTCAGGATAATTTTTTTAAATGATTGAGGTAATGTAGCCTTAATAGATACTTTTGTTGGCCAAATAATCCAATCTTGTATTGCAATAAAAATAATTTCTAAAATTTGTAAAAAATATGTTTTAATGGTGGTTCTATAAATTCCAAATAATGCACCTAATGCTGAATACCACAAACCCAACTTTAACTTCATTAAAAAAATTATATTAAAATTTTCATAGAAATAGTTTTAATAACTTAAACCATCAAAATATTTTATATGTTACACATGAGATACCTATATATTATAGTACTTGTGTTCTGAAAAGTACTGTTATGCAAATCTGTGCTATGTAAAACAAAGGACTAATGTAAAACACAGGTTTAGGTTTCAAAAGTTAGTGACAGAAAAGAATAGTATACTTTTGCTAAGAGAAATATGTGTTTGTTAAAGCAATCAATAAACATGTAATACAGTACATTTAATTTGTGATTTAGTGTTAATATTAATTTTAGTTATACAAGGGCATTCTTTTTTTTATGAAGTATTGTTGTCAACTCAGCTTTTTTGTTGATCTTGGTCAGAAATATCAGCAACGACTTCATTTTTCTTATTTTTTCATAAAATTTTTATGGATGACAAAATAATGTTATTAATCGAAAATTTGTTCTAGGGCCCTTGTTTGTTCCATCAAGTACTGACTGATTTTTCTCCCAACTTTGTTTTGGAATACTGAATTGTTTGAGATGGGAACATTTAGAGTACTGAGATACCACCATATTTTGTTCATCATTTCTATGAATGATTACTTACTTACCTACAGTTAAAAAAAATTTAATAACATTGACCTAAAAATGTTTAAATCTTATTTAGAATACTTTATTTAATCTATAAAACCAAAACACAGTGAGTCTTAAAGGCTAATGTCTGAAAGCAATGTCAACATTTCCTGTTTGATAGGAAAGTACAATTTTTTTTTTCTTTCTTGTCCTAGCTATCAGTTTTCATTAAAGTAAACCTGACAAAAGGCAGAAAACAAATTTTAAAAATTTTAATATTGTAAAATCCATGGGCAAATTTGAGATGACACGTGCTTACTTGAATTTAAAAATATTGAATAACGGAGTTTGCACTTAATTGTGAAATTTTGTACAAATTCTCAAACCATGTTAGAGCTGAATCAGAAACTGTGATATTCCCAATTTTCTAACTGTTAAATCAGAACAGTGTTGAACTGTCGTGTTGTACGAGAGATGCCTCTAATTAAATCTTGCTGTTATTTTTATGTAATAATGTTCTTGAAAAACTAATTATCACTAATTTTCTGTCTTTTGTATTTTCTGTATTTTAAATAATTTAATTCATTTGAGAAGAATCAAAAAATATCTTAGCAAAGATATATATTTTGTTAATTTCAGTTATAGGACTTGAAAAATTACTTTGAACAAAATTTTAGGATAAGAGTATTTTTCCATCTTAAATTTAAAAATATTCAGCAAAGAAGTTTTAATTTAGATTCCAAAAGTCAATTCTAATATTCAATTGGTGGGACATTATTGCTTGAATGCATTGGTGTGTTTTTGCTTGAAATTGGAATGTGAATTAGTATGCTTTGTTTTTAAAACTGAATATTAAATTTATGTTTGTGAATGGAAGAATTGATATTTTTGTCCAATATTAACTGTTAAGTTTGTTTTAGCCTTCTTTTAATGTTGTAGAATTAAATATTTTTGAAAATAATACTTAAAGTTTGATGATGATTGTGTGTTTATTAGCTGTACTATAATTAATAATTAAATATTTTAAATTCAGATCTTTAGAAGATGTCTGAATTAACTTGTGTAAATGTCTATGCAACAAGTGCTACTGCTGAAAATCTAAGTCGCCATGAAATGCTTGGTTGGGTAAATGATTGTTTACAGACTAATTATGGAAAAATTGAAGAATTGTGTACAGGTATGATTTTATACTTAATAACATATTTTCCTATTNGAGTTTATGAATTGTCTTGGGAATTGTCTATGAAAATTTTAATATAATTTTTTATAATTTTTTTAATATTGGGACATGTCTAAAAGTAAATTGAAAACATCAAATCCTACTGATGTTAGATCTTTTAAAGATTGATCATCATGAAAATTTGCTATACCACTAAAATGACAGGACCGGACCTATAATTTTCTCAACATTCTTTTGAAATCATTTTAATGTGAAAATTTGAATTTCAGAAACATTGTTACCAGTCATGCAAATAAAATTACATTTGATTTTCTCATTTTTAATATAACCCAAATACAAATTAAAAAACAATAAGTGATTTACTGCACTAGGTATAGTTTTCGAAATGTCTCAGATATAACACATATACATTCTTTAGTGAACTCCTATGTGTTATGTAAATATTTGCCACCAGAATAGCACGTGAGTAACTTGCACTCGGGGTCTATATACATGTACAAGTATAGATGGCTATGTAGTGCACAATCACACGATAAGGCATATGGGAGCCTGCTGGTTGCTATTTTGCTCCTGAACCCCTTTTTACAAAAATAAATAATAAGAATAAAAAATAAATAAATAAATAAATTCCACATGGGAAGTGAAAAAAGCTAAAAAAGCAAGTTTGCCTCAGAAAAAGCTAAAAAAGAGAGGAGCTATGAAAAAAAGCTAAAAAAGAGAAAAAAGAGAATCACTTTAAGCGTAATAAAAGATACTTATAATTATTCAAATATAAGGAGTGCCCAATTGAAAAGTGGACACATGTCATATTTCACTATGCTAAGTAGGGGACAAAGGCAAAAATTATGTCGGGTGATGAAGTGAAGGATAGGGTCAAAGAATTTTTTTACCAACAGCCATCAGAATTCTATGCAACAGGCATAAATCTGATTGTAAGATGCTGGGACCTTTGCCTAAATGAACATGAAGATTTCTTTTAGATTTGCAATGTTTGCCAGTTCTGATGTATGTCTACTTTTCATTTGAGCAACCCTTATATTTCTAAGTTTAGAGTTAGCATCATTTGGGTTCTTCTGGATCTGCCACTGTTTTTAATCACAAATTTAGTCCAATCCTATGAGCTAACTATCAACAGTTCATTACTTTCTTTGTTTTCATTGTTGTTCTGCTTTTATACAGTAATACAGAATAGTTTAATATAAAATGTACAATATCATTACAACACTTTCATTCTTGTCTACTACATATTAAAGAAAATGTAGTTCATTAACAATTCCTAATTGAAAATATTTTACAAATTAGGGGTATTCAAATGGGAGCTTTTGTTCATTTTTACAAAAACTGTGAATTGTGAACACACATGTAGGGAATACACAATTTCAATAAAGTAAAAAAACTAAAATCTTTTGGTATTGTCAACTGGAAATCTCATAATTCTAATTTCATCATCATTGGACATTATTCTCTTTAATTAAGAGAATTATTTTGTTCTGTATCTAAGTTAAAAATACAACTAATCCCACTGTTAGTAAATTTCAATAGTCGGTAACTGTTGTTTCAAGGCAGCTTTCCTTTTAAGCTGATGGCTTTTGCCATGAAAACCTGTATTATTGAAGTCAAGATCAAAAGAAACTACACTTTCATGACTTTTAAAAATGCCATAAAAGCTTGTATAGCAAGAAAATTCCTACTTACTCCCTATATGACTGATTACAAACCTATCTTTTAATGATCTCATTGTTAGTAATGTAGCTGCAGTTTGTAATGTTTAACATCATGTTAAAAAAAATATAGATTAATAGGTAAACAGGTTTTTGCAATGGTTTAGTATCATTTGAGGAAATTGGTTTGGGTTATTTAGAGACTGAGTATAAGTTAAGAATCTTTCTCATAGGAAATAGTGGAAAAAACTTCCTGATATACAAATCTTCCTGACATACAAAAATTGGATCATTTTCAACAACACAATATGTTCTGATAATGGGGTATGGCTGAAATATATAATTTTCTTGAATATTTTACCTGATGATATCTGTATGTTTTTTCTAATCGCATATATTTTAAACAATATTCACATATCCATAGTTTAGGCTGTTTTCCATATTCATCAGGAAATGGTGAGAAATACCAAGCATCAATCTCATACTTTCCAAACTGTATTCTATCAATATATTTTACTTTTGTAATCTGGAAAAAAAATTATCATTATGCAAAGAAATTAATGAAATTACTAATTAAATTAAAATATTAGATCTATGAATAAGTTTTACACAAAATTCAAAACAGAACAAAATTCTTATTATGGTATTGGTAGAATGTACTCTACTTGACTTACACTGGTAGTTATATGCTGAACCAAGGTCAAAGCATAGCTATTATTTCATTTATGTACTGTTTATATATTTATCTGTTTAAGAATTTCCTGACTGTGATGTGTTTATACTATACATGTCATATAGTCAGGAAATTCTTTTGTAGTATGGCAATCTTCTGCATTGTGATGTATGTGCTGTTGTGAAGCCCTAATGTTTCTAGACTTTTGTGTAGTGCATGTGATATTGATGCTAGTTGCTATTTGATTTTGTCAATGCAGGTAGTCAGTTTTCAACCTAATGTGATGTGATGTATTATATATTTTTATGTATGATGTGGTATTTCCTAAGTGTCATATCTTTTAGAATGTGTTTCCTGTAGTTTCTTGTATTTATGACTTGGCAGTCATGTATGGCAATCATACATGACTGCCATACATGACTTCCATTGCTCTAACTAGATATTCTGAGTCAGCCAGCAGCATCATCCTGGTTGAGATCATTAGGCTGCTATTTTGAAGCTCCTTCTGGATCTATGACTGCTTTATGGTGTCTATCTCTTGTATACTGCATTTTCTTCAGGTTTATGTACATTTAATAATGCACTTTTTTGTCTACAAAAGTTATTATTGTGTAATTATCATGTTTCTTGATTTTCATAGACAAATTCTTGCAGTGTCTGTAGTTTCCACACTAAATCTTGGTCAGTTATTTTGACATATTCAGTTGAAAAATAATTTAGTCACTTTTTTGCATTTCATTCAATAGAAATCAATATATATGAATTTAAAATCTTACATCCTGTTTACAAATTGTACAAGTGAACCTCTAGAATATAAGATTTTAAATATACAGTAGAGCATTGATTATCTGAATCAATTGGGGACTGGGGTTGTTCGAAAAATCAATTTTTTGGATAACTGATTATGTATGAAAAAATATACAGTAGAGCGTCGTTTATCTGAAGGAATTCCAGTCGACAAATTTAAATTTTCGCCAGTGTTGTGGTGCTGTAATCTTTGGCTATGTCTTCGGCTACTCAAATATTTTACGTTTTTGATACTAAATTAACTTCTGAAGTATAATTTTTTATTGTTTTTATATTTTTCAATATATTTATTTTGTTTGTACAAAATAAAAAAATAATTTTTAACGATACAATAGTCTTCGTTNCGAAAGAAATGCGTTAATTTTGGTTAAAAAGCTTCATCATTTAGTTTCCTTTGTCTCGCCTTTCTGTGAAATTTAACACTGATGAGTCATTGTTTATACATATGGATGACCTTGAGAACAGCTGGTGTCGTATTTTCCGTGACATTCTCATATACGTCTCGGGAGGAGAAGGGTTTAAAATAGGGTGACTTGAAATTAAAGCTATATTTTTAAATATCTTTAAAAAATTATAATTTTTATTGCGATTTCCGAACCCCCCTAATTAATTATATATATAATAAAATCTATTAATTAAAAAAATTAAAAACTATCGGAGGTCGTTTTTGACATCAGAAAACAGCTTTAAATAACTTTTGCCGAAGGAAAATCGGTGCACTACAACTTTAGAACGATTAATTAATTTTGATAAAAACTCCCATTAAAAAAACATTAAAAAGCAATAAAGCGTGAAGCGCGCGTCATTATAGGTTGATTAAAATCGCGATAAAATTTTTTCGTGCGGGCAAAAAATTCTGAAAAAAATTTGGGGACCTAAAAACATTCCAAAAATTCAAAAAAAAAAAATTTTTTTTCAAAAGTGGCCTTAACGACCGTTTTTTACGTAACGCTATGAAACTTGCTCGAGTCATGCTCGAGCGCGGGCAGGAAAAAGAAAAGAAAAACTAATTTAATAGATATTGTTTTTAATATTAATATTAAATGATATGATATACTATAGTTAACTTAATAAATAAAGTTAATTATAGTTAGAAATACAATATTGAAACAATGTGATTACTTTAACCATCCTTTCACAAAATGATTAACTAAAGAGAGAATTTAGTAAAGATTTGTTTTGTTCTATTTAAATGTGTGTTTTACTCTAATAATAAAATATAATCAGTTAACAGTAAACTTATTACTAACCTTAATTATAGCAATGGTACTTTTTTTTATCACTCTAATACAGTCTTTTTCAACTATAGTACCTCAACTTTTTCTTATTGCAATTTTTTCTTATGGCACCCCATATTTATTTATCAATACAGAATTATTGCATTTTTCATACATTTAGTAATACATATAAAAAGTGTTATGGTGCTGGCTCAGCACTATATTTTACAGCCCTGCAAAATCATTGCACCCCTGAAAAGTCATTGTGGCACCTTACTGTGCCACAGCACCCAAGTTGAAAACCACTGCTCTAATATGTTAAGGCCAAAATTTGTTTATTTTAATGATTAACGAACATTGACTAAACAATTGAATAACTTTAAATTCAAAGTCATATTTTACTATCTATTATCACATTATGCTAACTTTATATATGCAAATATAAATATTTGATACATTCATCACTAAATTACTGAAAAATAATTAATTATAATTCATTTTATCTGCAACTGATCATAATTTAATATGCCATTTAAATGTAATGCATGAATAAATTTTGTTTTATAAGATTTGAATATTTTGAGCAATAAAATAAAGTTTTTATAAATTTTCTATTAAATTTTGTTTTGTATTTTATACATTTTTAGAATATATAAGAAACATAAATTTTGTTATAATGATATTGTTCTTTGTTTGTTTACTTTATTTAACTTGTTTGATATTAAACAAGTTTCTTATAAATAATATTCTCTCAAATTAACATACTGAAGAAAAATATTTCTGATATTAACGAAATATAATTTTTTCATGAACTCACATATATTGTTAAGATCACTCAAAACTAAATTAATGTATTGCAAATAAAAAATTAAATGAATTTATAAATTATAATTTGAGAATAAAATATAAATATAATTACTAAAACAATAGGATTGCTAATTTTTGTTATATTTTCAAACACAGAGTAAAAAGTCTTAACACTTACTTTTTGTACATGATTTATTTCATCATGCTTTCGTTTTTGGTTTCTTGTAATTTTTCTGTCTGGTTGATCACCAAGATCATTTTGAGAATGTCCATGTTTACCATCTAAATCTTTATACGTTGAAATAAGATCGAACCTTTCTCTATCAACCCACTCGTCGAGTCGACGATTATCTATCAATAAAATAAATTTACTGATGGGTATATAAGTTTCATACTATTATTACTTTACAACTATTGATGATTCCTGATAAAGCAAAGGATGATCTATGCATAAAAAGTATTAATTATTATATTTTCATTAAAAACTAAAAGAAATCAGTATATACAGCTTGGTAGAAAAGTCCTGCAATATTATTCATTATATTTGGAACTGACATCATTTTGAAGATAATTTTATAAGAAATTCAAAACTTTTGACAGAATTAAAATATCTGTATTGTTCTACATACTGTGGGTGAGAAGATGGAAAGAAACTATAAAGCTAAGAAACATTTTATTTCTTGTGAACTTATTACAAAAGACTATTTAAGTCAAAGAAAAAATATAAAAATGAAACTCATTAAAGCTTTTATATGTAGTCAATGAACATTAGATATGCTTGAAAACATAAAAGCATTTAACATTTAATTGGGAAGTCTTTACTTTTAATTACTAAGGCACATCTCCTGGACCTTATTCATAAGCCTGTCAAGTTCATCCTCTGATTTAAGATGACACCAGCATGAAATCATTGCTTTCAATTAACTGTACTTGTTGTACTCTTTGTATTCAGGTTTCAGTTTTATCCAAACCTTTTAGACTGGGTAAGATCCAGCAATTACACAGGCCATTAGAATCTACAGACTGATTTTGAAACAAAGTATTTGTCTATGTCAAACAATTGTCTTAATGCATGGAGCTATTTTTCAGCTATTATTAATAATTAAATTTTAAGTAATTTGTTGCTAAAGGGTTAGGTGCCATTTCTTATTAAATTTAATAAGAAATGGAACCTAATGTCTCCCTCTAGTAACAAATTATTTAAAATTTATTTATTAATAATAGCTGAAAAATAGCTCAATGCATTATGGCAATAGTTTGGCATTGATTAATTACATTTTATGTTGAGAGGTTTATATAAAAGTATTTGTCTAATATTCATGCCCAATGACAGAGCATATTATTGTTCTTGAAATAAATTGCTATTTTTGAACAAGTCTACAGATGGAGGATGGATTTTGCTTTCCAATCATGGATATATTGGCAGCATTTGTTTTACTTTCAACAATATTCAGCATACCTACTCCATATGCTGAAATGCAATCCCAGATTATAACAGTAGTAAGATGCTTTATTATGTAAATAGTAGAGTAGAATTTTACTCTGTCATTTTTTGGCATCATTCATATGTTGCTCCTTTGATGGATATCAAAGATATTGTTGTTTTGTCACTTTATATGACCTTATACCACTGATCTATAGTACATTCTTTATGATTAATTTAAATGTACACTGTAGATGCTTAGTCTTCTTTTTTATTTATTTATTTATTAATGAAAGACTTTTTCACAGGCTTGTGGACTCTTAAGCCATTTTCTTTCAATCTGCAAATTACTGTTTACCTAAAAACAGTAACTGAACTGATACCTGCCACTTATATCCAATTTTTACAGCTTTTAAAGCAATCTTTCAAGCTCAATCAAATAAGACTGTTGTCATTTCACATGACAGTTTTCTTTGATCTTTCTTTTATGTGCTGATTTTCAAAACTGTTAGTCATTTCAATATGACTAACTGTTTTGAAAATCTGCTAACTGTTGGGTTATGACTGCTACATTTTACGTCAATTTGGCAACAGGACATATCTCATTATGCAAGCTATAACCTTTAGTATTTGTAAGCACTTTGTCTTCGGACAACATACTTTAAACTAACAAAGAAACTCTTCAAAAATGTAAAACTAAAAAAACTTTCAAATGACCATCATATGAAACCAGCTGCTGTTATGTAGTGGAAATTAAACATCCAAGAGAGCTGTAAAGGATTGAGATAATAGATTTCATTTTTGTTGGTGGCTTGCGTTTCTCACAAATCATTCTTTTTATCATATCTTTTAAAGTAATGTTGATATTTTTATTTTGTCAAACGTTTTGAATTCTTAGAAAATTGATCTTTAAATTGATGTATTACTCATTACGTTTGAAATTGGCATTACTTTTCAAAATGGGTTAAAATGCTAAAAATACATGTTTACATGAGATGTTGCAGGACTCTTGCACCAAGTTGATCACATGCAAATTGCAGAACCAGTAGAGGTGACAGAGATATGCAAATTATTAAGTTTGCATATGCATTGGGTCATGTGGTACCCAGTTTTGAGCTATAAAGATAAGCAATTAGCCTTGGGCTGTAAATTCTATCAGTGATGGTTCGTGGCAGCCAAACTTTTGAAGATGTATAGAAAATGCATCATAGGCAACAGTGAATTGAATGCCACCAGTTAACTGCTGGAGAACAAGACCATATCCTGGAGCTGCATGACCTCAATTTCTTGATGCATGAATGTTGGGCATGACATGAGTGCCATTCAGCAAAGTGTAATATCAGACAAAAAAACTAACACAAGTAAACTGGAACTATATAATACTACACACAACAATTAACACCTCAATACTAATTCCAGCACTCAAAAAATTTTACTGATCTAACATTTTCGGCCGTCTTTTAGAGGCCCTCCTCAGGATGAAACACAATGAAACAGTTCTATCTTTTAAAGGATTCTAATCATCAAATACAGCTATGTTCCAAATTTTTAAATATTTAAAAGATGTACCGTACTGTATAAAAATTGTTAAGTTTACAACATAAACATAATTATTTTAAAATAACGCTATACATAAATTATTATTGTAGAGTTGTGAAAATTAGCACGACATAAACGATTTGTTTTACAATAATGCTATACATAAATTATTATTATAGAGTTGTGAAAATTAGCGTGATGTAAACTCTTTGTTTTCTTTTATAAAACAGAAAGATTAAAAATAATTACACATCCGATTATTGTTGTACTTTGTGGCAATGTAAATAATATTTCCACGATTGTGGAATCGGAATATAATCAGAGTTGATGCAGTTTCCCTTCATGGTTTCTATATAAATCTCCATAGCCTCCAACGAGCATAAGTTGTGTCAGTCGAAGGCCCTATGCAAAAGAGTAGCCTCATCCCAACATGGGGAAACCCCGGGTTCTGTAGCATACTGGGCAAGAGCGGTACTATACTTCTGCTTCGACACATCATATTTGTGGTCCCGTACTCTAGCCTCCAGGGATCTGTATGTGGATCCAATGTATGTTATCCGACGATTGAAACGTTCGTCATTCAAAGGTATGCGGTACACCCCCGACGCTTTTTTATCATCAGACTTGTCCTTAGCATTAGATAAAAGTCGGAAAATATTCTGCTTTCTCTTATATGTTAATCGCACGTTCAACTTCTTAGCAATTTTACTAAAAATTCGTTGAAGGGATGGTTCGTAAGATAAAACCACCCAGTTGTGCTGTGCATCAATAGTCCCCTTGTTGTTGTTAGTTATTGTAGATTGCTGGTTGGTAGTTAGCCTATCTATTAAGGACTTGTGATACCCGTGTGCCGATGCTATACGTTTGATGTTTTTCAGTTCTCTGTAGATATCGGAAGTTTCAGAGCAGTGGGAACAAGCTCTTGAGACTAGGGCTCGAAAAGCTGATACCTTAAAAGGCCAAGGGTCTGCTGAGTTAGCAGGTATAAAGAGAGGACATTATGTTGGTTTGCGGTAAATGGTCGTGGTTATATTTTTATTCTCTGTATTAATCTGGACATCTAAGTAGTTAACTTCTGTGCGACTTTCCTGGTCTAACTTTAGTGTTAAGCCATAGGCGTTGTTGTTAAAGGCTTCTAACACCTTCTCTATATCAGGTTTGGTTTTCCATATAATTAAAATATCATAAAATATATAAAGTGTAATATGATGGATGCAGGAACATCTGTCAACATGCTGAAGAGAGAGTGGATCGTAAAGGCACACTACAAAGTGCAAAAACTAGCAGATTCACTAAAAGGTCTGTTGGGATCCATTCACCATAGCATGTGACATCCAACACTGCCTGTAACCATCAACAGAGGTATCTGTATCCACCTAAACCATTCGCAACAGGTTGCATGAAGTTGGGCTGCACACATGGCAGCCATCAACAGGAGTGACATTATCCACTCAACACAGGGATGAACACCTGGCACTGTGTTGTCATCATTGCAACTGGACCACTGAATGGCATTGGTATTATTTATAGACAAATCTTACTTCTATCTGTTGAGGAATGGTTTTGAATATTGCTGAAAAAAAATTTGTCCAAGTTTTCGCAACATGCTGGCTAAGCTTAAATAGATGTGTTCAATCTGTATTAAAGACATGGTCAGCATTAGTATCTGTTCTTCTTGAGGGCAAATCAGCAGTTGGCCAAGGTCTGCTAGAAAGTATACACTGTTACAAGTTTATTGCAATTTCAGCTTATTTTACTGACATTCTCAATGTGTTACAACAGATTTTCCTGGTGTTTTCAAAAACAAAAGCACAGATTTTGAAACTTTTGAAACTCAAGTAATATGTATAATTGACTACCTGAAGTCACTGCAAAATATAGATGGCCCCACATTTAAAGAGTTCTTAGACAAAGTTCCTGGAGAGGCATCAACCACAGGAAAGATTGAATTTAAAGGAACCATTATAAAGGATAATATGATATAGTGCAGGCATTGGAGAGAGTACATCAAACCTTTTTGCATTATCCTGTAACAAACTTGCAACAAATATTTTCTGATTTTGGAAAGCTGCAATTGACCTCCCCAAAAATTCCTGGGGATTTAACAACCCATCTGGATTTGAACCCAGGTCCCTCAGAGTGGCAGGCTGCCACCTTAACCACTTGGCCTCTAGCCATCAAAACATTTGAGAACTGTTCATAAATGAGTAATGTCATATGTTTTTCATTCAGAAATTTCTCTTAATTTTGAACAACTCTATTTTCTTTTGACATTTTTAGATGCAGTTTTTTTATGTTTTGGCAAACATAGCAATATATCTAATATATAAAGTCTTCTACAGCATTTCTTGTACATTTAGAAATATTCAATAAAGATAAAAGCAAACCA